CAGTTGTCTGCGCAGCGCCGGCATGAACCGAACCAGCTTTAACACACGCAACAACCGGAACGTCCTCAGCACCGACAGACCACCGTCAGACTGACCCACGATCTCACACACACTGCACACACACACACACAGAGAGGGAGAGAGAGATGGAAGTAATTGTGATGCTTGTGCTTTGGTTCAAGCACTTCTAATCTTCCATAAAAAAGAACATTGCTAAAAACAGTATTATCTTTCCTTGTTGATACAAACAAAGATTGAAAGATGAGTTGAAGTCAGTATGATTTCTTTTAAAGAAATTACTACTTTTATTCAGCAAGAAAACGTCTCAGGTTACAAATGTAACCTTTGTTCCCTGAGAACAGGGAACGAGACAATACGTCATCGACGTTATGGGGAACGCCTCAGGCGTGACAGGTGTCTGAAATCACTATCAAATCACGTCAATCACATTGACCGGCGACAGCCCGTGAATCATTAGCGTGAATGATTAACGTGCGACCTGGAAGTATATAAGGGCGCCTTGCAAACATGACAAATCACCTTATCGTCTGAAGGGACTGTACGGCAGGCAAGCCCCGAGGCATGGCAGGGAGACGTATTGTCTCGTTCCCTGTTCTCAGGGAACAAAGGTTACATTTGTAACCTGAGACGTTCCCTTTCGAAGGGAACTCAACAATACGTCATCGACGTTATGGGGAACGATATACCCACGCCGCCATGCTGAGGGGAGTGCATGCCCTCAGGCAGTGACAACTGTCCGAACCAACAAATTCAAATGAAATGCTAGAACCACTCACCCTCAGGTCACACTGGGCTGTCAGTGACAGCATTCCCTACGGTCATAGCCCAAGCTATAAGCCTAACAGGAAAACCTCCATAAACATAGTTAAATGAAAGCCTACCTGGGCCTGCTCAAAGGCCTAGGACCACAACTTCAATTAGAAGGGGCCCCTTCTAGGGAATGTGGCCAGGGAATCCGAAGGAACCCCAGCCAGTCACTATTCAGGGGAACGTACTCACCCCGATATGCCACCAGGACGGCCTGACCTGGCGTCAGATACATAGACACTTAGTCTGGCCACTTCCTGTCTGTCCGAAGACAGAGCCTCTGGAAAAAGCCTTAAGTAAGGCATCCAACCCGAGGAACTGCGACGCTGGCAGTGAACCACTCGGCCCGGATCTCAGAGACGGGATATCCCGGAGAGTATGACTCAGCATAGTGCTTTATGACCCTTGCTAGCGAGGGGAGTTTCTCTACTCGATCCATGGATCAACCCAGTGTTTGCAAACACTGAGGAGGTCTGTGAAGGCCTAAGGACTGATCTAACTGGGAGGCCTCACGAGAGGCCTACGACCGTCTGACCAGACTCAGGAGTCCGCGTGCTCACAGTGACCCTCAATGAGGGGAGCATATGGTCCCCCTGGTAGGCAAAACCAGGCTTTAGGCAGGAAAGAGGTTCCGAGAGGGAACCAGCAGCAGAGAATGAACACTTCAGTCGAGCCAGGGCGCAAGCTCGCCTTCAGCAGCTGCCTGATAAGGCCAGCTGAAATGATAGCAAGAGGCCACTAGCTTCCTGAACCCAGCACCGCTAGGGAACCACTCACAAGGAGGCCTGGTGAGGCCTACTACCTGATAGCAACAGTATGTGGGACCACAACTTCAATTAGAAGGGGTCCCTTCTAGGGAATGTGGCTAGGGAACCCGAAGGAACCCCAGCCAGTCACTATTCAGGGGAACGTACTCACCCCGATATGCCACCAGGACGGCGTGACCTGGTGTCAGAGCATAGACACTTAGTCTGGCCACTTCCTGTCTGTCCGAAGACAGAGCCTCTGGACACTTTGCCTTAAGTAAGGCATCCAACCCGAGGGACTGCGACGCTGGTAGTGAACCACTCGGCCCGGATCTCAGAGACGGGATATGCCGGAGAGTATGACTCAGCATAGTGCTTTATGACCCTTGCTAGCGAGGGGAGTTTCTCTGCTCGATCCATGGATCAACCCAGTGTTTGCAAACACTGAGGAGGCCTGTGAAGGCCTAATGGCTGATCTAACCGGGAGGCCTCACAAGAGGCCTACGACCGTCTGACCAGACTCAGGAAGCCGCATGCTCATAGAGACCCTCAGTGAGGGGAGCACAAGGTCTGCCTGGTAGGCAAACCAGGCTGTAGGCAGGAAAGGTTCCAGGAGGGAACAAATAGCAGAGAATAAACACTTTAGCGAGCCAGGGCGCAAGCTCGCCCCCCAGCAGCTGCCTATTAAGGCTAGCTGAAACTGATAGCAAGAGGCCACTAGCTTCATAAACCCAGCACCATTAGAGAAACATTACAGGGAGGCCCGGAGAGGCCTACTACCTGATAACCACAGTATGTGGGGAGCTCACCTTCAGGGAGGCCTGGTGAGGCCTGCTACCTTACAACCACAGTATGTGGGGAGCTCACCTTCAGGGAGGCCTGGTGAGGCCTGCTACCTTACAACCACAGTATGTGGGGAGCTCACCTTCAGTGAGGCCTGGTGAGGCCTACTACCTGATTGCTACAGTCTGTGGGAACTCACCTTCAGGGAGGCCTGGTAAGGCCTACTACCTGATAGCAACAGTATGTGGTCACCCACAGGGAGGCCTAGAGAGGCCTACTACCTGATAACCACAGTATGTGGGAACTCACCTTCAGGGAGGCCCGGTGAGGCCTGCTACCCTACAACCACAGTATGTGGGGAGCTCACCTTCAGGGAGGCCTGGTGAGGCCTGCTACCTTACAACCACAGTATGTGGGGAGCTCACCTTCAGGGAGGCCTGGTGAGGCCTACTACCTGATTGCTACAGTCTGTGGGAACTCACCTTCAGGGAGGCCTGGTAAGGCCTACTACCTGATAGCAACAGTATGTGGTCACCTACAGGGAGGCCTAGAGAGGCCTACTACCTGATAGCGATAGTACGTGGGGAACTCACCCTCAGGGAGGCCTGGTGAGGCCTGCTACCTGATAATCACAGCATGTGGGAACTCGTTTTCAGGGAGGCCTAGTGAGGCCTACTACCTGACAGCCATAATATCTGGGAGCTTTTTACTGCTACCCGATAGTAAGCCAGGCTAGCTGTCCAGTTGCCCGTCCTTGGGCTTGTCTCTTCAGGGAGGCCTGGTGAGGCCTACTACCTGATAACCATCTTAAGTGGGAATTCACCCTCAGGGAGGCCTGAGGGGCCTACCACCTGATAGCAACTGGTAGCTGAGTCCGGGTGACAGTTCCAAGGCGGCCTGCTAAGGCCAGCCAGCTGGGGACTCGCCTATCAGGGAGGCCCGGTTGGGCCTACTAGCTGATAGCAAGTCAATTCTGCTACAAAGGAACACTGTTGGGAACCATACTACACCAATGTAACTATTGGGCCCACCCACAGGAGGCCTAGTACGGCTAGCTACCTGTAGCGGCATTAAAGCATGACCCACAATGTTGGGACTCACCTCCGAGGAGGCCTGTTTAAGGCCTACTACCCACCGGTGAGTCAACTGCCCGAACCACCAAGGCCAACCAATTCTCTCGAGAAGTAGCCTATAGCGCCCTCTTGGGGGCTGCTCATACAAGGAGGCCTGCTGAGGCCTACTACCTGATGGCGCAGCCTTCGTTGGCAGATAAGCTGTTTACACAGCGCCTACAGCATCCTGGTGCCTAATCACATTGCCCATGGCAGTGTACTCAGCATAGAGAGCTAATACCCTTAGAACAAGGGGAGTACAACATACGTCACTCTGCCTCAGTGGAGGCCCCAGTTAGTCAGGGGCCTACCATCTATGCATGGGCGTCAGCACAGGGCAATGCTCTGGCTTCAGGGGAGCGAACTTCGACCAAAGAAGAAGTGAAGGCTTACTTCATACTCGACCCGAGCCATAGTAGTGCGAGGTAGGATAAAAACAGAACTGGGAGCGAAGTGCTCAGACCTACCCTGAATCACAGGGGAATACTCACACCTCACCCTGAGTTTACCAGGGTGCGGGCCTGCCAGCGGCTCTAGGGGTAACAGAAAAACATCTGTGCCCAACCTAGGGGAGTGGGGCTTGAATGAAAGCCAACCACCTACAACCCACAGCCTGAGCAGTAGCTCAGCAAGGTATTAGTGAAGCCTACACTGGCGGCCTAAATCCGTAGGCCAGTTCTGCACGGCAGGGTCGGGCAGGAGACTCAGTCTTCTTCGTGAAGCGAAAGACGGCCTAACCCTGCTCAAAAGGACTTATATACCACGGAGGCCTAACTGAGGCCTACCATGTCCTTATAAACCATCCTCTGCACCACGCTGCATTACTCTAGTCACCCCAGAATGCAGAGAAGGGGGCGGGCCTTGGCCTAACGACTCCCATGGGAGGAGGCTGATTACACAGGGATGCCAAAACCTACATTCACAAAGTGAAGGGTCAGAGGAAGAAATGCTAATTTTAGCAGAACGCCTCTAATATCCCTGGCACAGCCTAGGCCAGCTACAGAGGCGGCCCTGGTGAGGGCCAACCTGTAAGCATAGATCTATCTGAGGGCTCAGAGGAGCCACAGCCTACTAAAGAATATAGTCTGTATTATTCCATACAAAGGGCTGCAGAACGCTCAACCTAATGAAAACTCAACAGAGCTCAAGGGGCGAAATACTCAGAAAAGTCAAAACGGTCCCATGGGCCGGACATAAGATCTATCTGAAGCTCTAGCGTCAGTCAACACTCTAAGTAAACATTCTATCAGAGAGAGACCAACTACTCTACCCTGAGGTGGCTAGTAGCCCGAAGGCTAACATAGTTATCATTCTGGCCACCTAACGGGGAACTTCAGGGCCCTAATAATCCAATAAAGTTACCTTACCTTTATTACCTTGACATGACCCCATAACTCTTTATACAGGGAACGAGGTCTGTAAAGAGAAATATGTTATTTTTTATCACAAAAAATATACTCCTTGAAAAGACCAGCAGCTCACCTGCGGCGTGCAAAGTGAAGACTCACCAGACAGTTCTTCATGAACATGGGGTCTACCACCTTTACATACCTGAAAGAGGCACTCTCACTAACCAAGCCGAGGCGGGCCACCAGAACATTGTTCTAACCATGAGCCCAGCCTCAGGCCTGATGTAAGAAGCGCCTGGGGAGTCGGGGAAGAGAGGAAAAGGCAAAGATATAATCACGCCCTCAGGGAAGATGATCCAAGACCAACGCAACGTGCGTTTGTGCCGGATCACCTCCCTCAGATCCCTCTTCCCATCCACGCTCTCCTATCCTCTCAACATCAGCGAGCTAGCCCGCTGATGTTGGTGGATACAGGCAGAGTATGGGTTCTTCCATGTCCTCTCGATCCCAGTATGAGATCGGGAAGAAATGAAAGGCTCACCTGAGCTGGTGGTTCTATGACCCGGGAAAAACCGCTCTCATCGCGAGCGATTTCTCCCCCAACGAGCAGCCACGGCAGCTGCAGCCTGCCCGCGGCGCGTTCTATAATACCAACCAGCTCAGCATACACGGGGCAGGGTGGCTGAGAAGATACAGGAAAATATTTTATTATTTCCACCCTCATCAGCCATCTCCTGTTTGTCCGGGAGAGCGCTTGCTGCCGGACTAAGTTTTCCCTTTTTTTTTTTTTTTGAAAAACTTCATCCAATTGCAGCTTCTCATCAGCCGCCGCATCGTCTGAGAGGATTACACCCCTCTCAAGGCGATCGGCGAGCTTCATCTGTGACATCCAGACGCTGAACCCTCTTCTCTCGAGAAGAGGGACAGGCGCGATCACAATTTGTACAGGCAGTTCCCTCGAGAACCGCCTGTGCGCGTCTTCCTTCCCAGACAAAAAATGCGATTTCTGCAGCTCAGAAATCGCGTCTTCCTTCCCAGACAAAAAATGCACAGTTCACGTGTGTCACCCGGCTACAAATATCTTGGGCACGGGTCTGCACACTTCTGAAAGCATTTCATAATTACCTGATTTTCAAAGCAGTTACAGACAAAACAGTCCCTGAAGACGAAAAGATGATTTGTCATGTTTGCAAGGCGCCCTTATATACTTCCAGGTCGCACGTTAATCATTCACGCTAATGATTCACGGGCTGTCGCCGGTCAATGTGATTGACGTGATTTGATAGTGATTTCAGACACCTGTCACGCCTGAGGCGTTCCCCATAACGTCGATGACGTATTGTTGAGTTCCCTTCGAAAGGGAACATTAAACTGACCAAAAGTGACAGTAAATATATTAATCATGTCTATTTGTATTTCAAATAAATGCTGTTCTTTTCATCAAAGAATCCGGAAAAACAAATGTATGACGATTTCCACAAAAATATGAAGCAGCACAACGGTTTTAAACTTTTTCCACAACTTGTAAGCTTGTACACACAGACTGGCGTGTTTAAATGCAGCGCAGTGGGTGTTTCACTGTACCTGATGATGACGATGATTCCATCAAAGATGTTGTAGGGATTGCGCAGGTACTGAAAGCCACCGAACGCCGTGAGCTTCAGGATCATCTCCAGAGCAAACATACTGGTGAAGACGATATTACAGATCTCCAGAACATTAGTGAGCTCGTCTGGCTGGACACACACACACACACACACACAGAGAGAGAGAGAACGAGAGCATGAAACACAACATTAACTGAAGTAATGAACAGAACCAATGAAGAGACAGAGACTCATCAGCTGAAAGAACAGAAGCAAATATCAGCCGATATCCTCAGGTTTGTGATGTCTAGTGCTGGTTCTGAGCTTTAGCTTTAGCTTATATCGTAATGTACATCCAGCCGGACGTCATCTCAGAATAAACCCGACAGGGAGATCAGGATCAGGTCTTCATCAGCCTGAAGAGGTTTATTCTGAGATCACACACACACACACACCTGAAGAGGTTTATTCTGAGATCACACACACACACACACACACACACACACACCTGAAGGGGTTTATTCTGAGATCACACACACACACACACACACACACACACACACCTGAAGGGGTTTATTCTGAGATCACACACACACACCTGAAGAGGTTTATTCTGAGATCACACACACACACACACACACCTGAAGGGGTTTATTCTGAGATCACACACACACACACACACACACACACACACACACACACACACACACCTGAAGGGGATTATTCTGAGATCACACACACACACACACCTGAAGGGGTTTATTCTGAGATCACACACACACACACACCTGAAGAGGTTTATTCTGAGATCACACACACACACACACACACACACACACACACACACACACACACACACACACACACACACACACACACACACACCTGAAGGGGTTTATTCTGAGATCACACACACACACACACACACACACACACCTGAAGGGGTTTATTCTGAGATCACACACACACACACACACACAACTGAAGGGGTTTATTCTGAGATCACTCACTCACACACACACACACACACACACACACACACACACACACACACACACACACACACACACACACACACACACACACACACACACACCTGAAGGGGTTTATTCTGAGATCACTCACTCACACACACACACACACACACACACACACACACACACACACACACACACACACACACACACACACACACACACACACAACTGAAGGGGTTTATTCTGAGATCACTCACTCACACACACACACACACACACACACACACCTGAAGGGGTTTATTCTGAGATCACACACACACACACACACACACACACACACACACACACACACACCTGAAGGGGTTTATTCTGAGATCACACACACACACACACACACACCTGAAGGGGTTTATTCTGAGATCACACACACACACAACTGAAGGGGTTTATTCTGAGTTCACACACACACACACACACACACACACACACACACACACACACACACACACACCAGAAGGGGTTTATTCTGAGATCACACACACACACACACAACTGAAGGGGTTTATTCTGAGATCACTCACTCACACACACACACACACACACCTGAAGGGGTTTATTCTGAGATCACACACACACACACACACACACACACACACACACACACACACACATCTGAAGGGGTTTATTCTGAGATCACACACACACACACACACAACTGAAGGGGTTTATTCTGAGATCACTCACTCACACACACACACACACACACACCTGAAGGGGTTTATTCTGAGATCACACACACACACACACACACACACACACCTGAAGGGGTTTATTCTGAGATCACACACACACACACACACACACACACCTGAAGGGGTTTATTCTGAGATCACACACACACACACACACACACACACCTGAAGGGGTTTATTCTGAGATCACACACACACACACACACACCTGAAGGGGTTTATTCTGATATCACACACACACACACACACACCTGAAGGGGTTTATTCTGAGATCACACACACACACACACACACACACACCAGAAGGGGTTTATTCTGAGATCACACACACACACACACACACCTGAAGGGGTTTATTCTGAGATCACACACACACACACACACACACCTGAAGGGGTTTATTCTGAGATCACACACACACACACACACACACACCTGGTTTATTCTGAGATCACACACACACACACACATCTGAGGGGGTTTGTTCTGAGATAACAACCGGCTGGATGTACATTATCCCGTTTATTACACGGATACTTGACACATCACTAAATAATTAGACACAAAATGTTGATCTGAGTCGAAATATTTTATTAGTTCTTTAAACGCAAAGCTTGCGCGGAGAGAGCAGCTTCAGCGGCGAGTTTAAACTAATGATATACCGCTGGATGTGTGATTGACGAATCAGAATCAAGTATTCCACAGAGCCGTGTAATAAGTCTATATAAAAACCTTTGTTGTGTGTGTGTGTGTGTGTGTGTGTGTGTGTGTGTGTGTGTGTGTGTGTGTGTGACCTGCTCATGGTGCTCGATGCCCATGCTGATGGTGTTGATGAGGATGGCCACCATGATTCCTCTGTTGAAGTATTTACTCTCCACGATGCCCCACAGTTTGACCCTCGTCTCCGCCCACAGCTCTTGGCTCCACCCCCGACACACCCCCTTCTCCTCTGCTGCCTCCTCCTCTGTCTCCTGATTGGCTGCTGATGCGGGAGGTGTGGCTCCATCTGTGGTGCAGTGAGAGAAGTGCTCAGAGACCCCTTACAGAAGTGATTATAATGTTCAATATACTGCAATATATGCATTGACCATGTATTACTATATATTAATACATTTAAAATATTAATAAATGAAGACAAAAATATTCCTTATGTATTATTCAATATATTGTAACAATATATTATTCAGTATATTTTCAAACATACTGTTATATCATTTAATTTATTGATCATTCATATACTGGGAAATATATGTTCTTTTCGTGTGGGTCCCTACACACTCCATCATGTGACTCTCCTCTTCTCACCCTGTGGCTGGAGGCTGTTTCTCCCTCCGTTGGCGTGTGTTTTCTGCAGTGTGTGTGTTCGGCAGAGCGCTCTGAGGAGCGCGGCGAGGCGGCGGCGAGTCTTGCGGAGCACGTGGCAGACGAGCTGGAAGAGCTCCTCGTAGCAGTCGCCGGGTTCGGCCCGCGAGGCCAGTGTGCTGGAGGACAGACAGGCGTCTCGCTGCTCCTGCATCAGCTGGTGCTCGCGCTGCTTCGTCTCCGAGAACTGAGTCGCTATGACGACCAGACACAGGTTTATCATGAAGAAAGAGCCCACCTGTGGAGTTAGGCAGAGATGCAGAGAGAAAGACAGTCAAAACACACACCTGTCTCACTGCAGACACAGACCTGTCTCACTGCAAACGCCACTCTCACTGCAAACACACACCTGTCTCACTGCAAACACAGACCTGTCTCACTGCAAACGCCACTCTCACTGCAAACACACACCTGTCTCACTGCAAATGCCACTCTCACTGCAAACACACACCTATCTCACTGCAAACACACACCTGTCTCACTGCAAACACACACCTGTCTCACTACAAACACACACCTGTCTCACTACAAACACACACCTGTCTCACTGCAAACGCCACTCTCACTGCAAACACGCACCTGTCTCACTGCAAACACACACCTGTCTCACTGCAAACACACACCTATCTCACTGCAAACACACACCTATCTCACTGCAAACACACACCTGTCTCACTACAAACACACACCTGTCTCACTGCAGACACAGACCTGTCTCACTGCAAACACACACCTGTCTCACTGCAAACACAGACCTGTCTCACTGCAAACGCCACTCTCACTGCAAACACACACCTGTCTCACTGCAAATGCCACTCTCACTGCAAACACACACCTATCTCACTGCAAACACACACCTGTCTCACTGCAAACACACACCTGTCTCACTACAAACACACACCTGTCTCACTACAAACACACACCTGTCTCACTGCAAACGCCACTCTCACTGCAAACACGCACCTGTCTCACTGCAAACACACACCTGTCTCACTGCAAACACACACCTATCTCACTGCAAACACACACCTATCTCACTGCAAACACACACCTGTCTCACTACAAACACACACCTGTCTCACTGCAGACACAGACCTGTCTCACTGCAAACACACACCTGTCTCACTGCAAACACAGACCTGTCTCACTGCAAACGCCACTCTCACTGCAAACACACACCTATCTCAATGCAAACACACACTTGTCTCACTGCAAAAACACACCTATCTCACTGCAAACACACACCTATCTCACTGCAAACGCCACTCTCACTGCAAACACACACCTATCTCAATGCAAACACACACTTGTCTCACTGCAAAAACACACCTATCTCACTGCAAACACACACCTATCTCACTGCAAACGCCACTCTCACTGCAAACACACACCTATCTCACTGCAAACACACACCTGTCTCACTGCAAACACACACCTGTCTCACTGCAAACACACACCTGTCTCACTGCAAACACACACCTATCTCACTGCAAACACACACCTATCTCACTGCAAACGCCACTCTCACTGCAAACACACACCTGTCTCACTGCAAACGCCACTCTCACTGCAAACACACACCTATCTCACTGCAAACACACACCTGTCTCACTGCAAACACACACCTATCTCACTGCAAACGCCACTCTCACTGCAAACACACACCTGTCTCACTGCAAACACACACCTGTCTCACTGCAAACACACACCTGTCTCACTGCAAACACACACCTGTCTCACTGCAAACACACACCTATCTCACTGCAAACACACACCTATCTCACTGCAAACGCCACTCTCACTGCAAACACACACCTATCTCACTGCAAACACCACTCTCACTGCAAACACACACCTGTCTCACTGCAAACACACACCTGTCTCACTGCAAACACACACCTATCTCACTGCAAACACACACCTATCTCACTGCAAACACCACTCTCACTGCAAACACACACCTGTCTCACTGCAAACACACACCTGTCTCACTGCAAACACACACCTATCTCACTGCAAACACACACCTATCTTACTGCAAAAACACAACTATCTCACTGCAAACACACACCTATCTCACTGCAAACACCACTCTCACTGCAAACACACACCTGTCTCACTGCAAACACACACCTGTCTCACTGCAAACACACACCTGTCTCACTGCAAACACACACCTGTCTCACTGCAAACACACACCTGTCTCACTGCAAACGCCACTCTCACTGCAAACACACACCTATCTCACTGCAAACACACACCTGTCTCACTGCAAACACACACCTATCTCACTGCAAACGCCACTCTCACTGCAAACACACACCTGTCTCACTGCAAACACACACCTATCTCACTGCAAACACACACCTATCTCACTGCAAACGCCACTCTCACTGCAAACACACACCTGTATCACTGCAAACACACACCTATCTCACTGCAAACACACACCTATCTCACTGCAAACACACACCTATCTCACTGCAAACACCACTCTCACTGCAAACACACACCTGTCTCACTGCAAACACACACCTGTCTCACTGCAAACACACAACTATCTCACTGCAAACACACACCTATCTCACTGCAAACACACACCTGTCTCACTGCAAACACACACCTGTCTCACTGCAAACACACACCTGTCTCACTGCAAACACACACCATTCTCACTGCAAACACACACCTGTCTCACTGCAAACGCCACTCTCACTGCAAACACACACCTATCTCACTGCAAACACACACCTGTCTCACTGCAAACACACACCTATCTCACGGCAAACGCCACTCTCACTGCAAACACACACCTGTCTCACACAAACACACACCTATCTCACTGCAAACACACACCTATCTCACTGCAAACGCCACTCTCACTGCAAACACACACCTGTATCACTGCAAACACACACCTATCTCACTGCAAACACACACCTGTCTCACTGCAAACACACACCTATCTCACTGCAAACGCCACTCTCACTGCAAACACACACCTGTCTCACTGCAAACACACACCTATCTCACTGCAAACACACACCTATCTCACTGCAAACACACACCTATCTCACTGCAAACACACACCTATCTCACTGCAAACACACACCTATCTCACTGCAAACACACACCTGTCTCACTGCAAACGCCACTCTCACTGCAAACACCACTCTCACTGCAAACACACACCTATCTCACTGCAAACACACACCTGTCTCACTGCAAACACACACCTATCTCACTGCAAACACACACCTATCTCACTGCCTATCTCACTGCAAACACACACCTGTCTCACTCCAAACACACAGCTGTCTCACTGCAAACACACACCTGTCTCACTGCAAACACACACCTATCTCACTGCAAACACACACCTGTCTCACTGCAAACACACACCTATCTCACTGCAAACACCACTCTCACTGCAAACACACACCTATCTCACTGCAAACGCCACTCTCACTGCAAACACACACCTGTCTCACTGCAAACACACACCTTAGTTAATTCGTTGGTTAAGAATATCAGACAGGCAATATCAGCAAAATGAATCATCATCAGCGTGTCAAATAAAACAATTTATTTTGCTCTTTTAGAACAGACTCATAAATCTGTGTGTGTGTGTGTGTGTGTACTTACAATAATCAGCAGAATAAAATAGATGAAGTTGTAGAATGAGTGAGCGTCCATGACGTAATACATGATTTCCACCCAGCCCTCCAGAGTAATAACCTAAACACACCATCATTAGCAGAAAAACACTTCATACAGTTCTCTGGGAATAGTTTTCTCTTCCAATAAGTTCAAATTTGGCACAAAGCACATCAATCACATCATACGAGCTGCAAAGCTCTGCAGTCTCCCAGGAGAAAATACCTGAAAAATAACGATCCAGGCGTATCCGATGTTGTCGAAGTTGATGGCTCCTTTGTGCGGGTTCCTGTGTCCAGTGTGGCAGTGTGTGTAGTAGCGGTTCCAGTTGACGCAGAGTCCGGGTACGAAGGCGCTGGCGTTGATGAAGGGTTCGGTCACGAGACCCAGAGCCTGATGATGCAGGAGATCCTCCACGTCCAGACAGCACTGGTGTCCCGAAACACGGCGAGCTGGAACGTCTCCACACGACATGATCCCGTTATCCTGAGGCAGAGAGCAGATGAAGGGCCGCTCGTCTTCCTCGTCGGGAGAGTAATACGGGGCGGGTAGTGCCACACCTGTAGAGCTGAGAGAAACAACACACAGTCGAACACGGGATGTGTGCAAAACCTAGGAAGCATCCTAACCAGCTTAGGCGTCACAAGTGCCTGATCTGAACACTCTACACAGGAGACGCGTGTCAGAGACTCTACCAGTCTGGTTCCGGATCGGTAAGATTTTTAATGTTTTTAAAAGAAGTCTCTTCTGCTTCACCAAGATACTTTGAAGAACGATTGGAACTTTGGCACCATTGACTTCCATAGTGGGCGGCAGTGGCTCAGTGGTTCATGTAGGTTGTCTACAAACCGGAAGGTTGGTGGTTCAACCCCAGTTCCACCTGACCAAGTGTCGAGGTGTCCATGAGCAAGACACCTAACCCCAGCTGCTCCCGATGAGCTGGATGGAGCCTTGTATGGCTGACACCGCCGTCGGTGTATGAATGGGTGAATGTGAGGCAAATTGTAAAGGGCTTTGGTGGCCATTGGGTCTGTGAAAGCGCTATATAAATGCAGTCCATTTACCATAGTATTTTTTTTTTCTACTATGGAAGTCAATGGTGCCAAACAACTGTTTGGTTCCAATCGTTCTTCTAAATATCTTCCTTTGTGTTCAGCAGAAGAAAGAAACTCACAACTTGAGGGTGAGTAAATGATGACAGAATTTTCATTTTTGGGTGGAGTATCCCTTTAAAAACACACACAAAAAACAGTAATATTGTTAAATATTATGACAATTTAAAATAACAGTTTTCTATGAGAATATATGTTAAAATGTAATTTATTCCCGTGATCAAAGCTGAATTTCAGCCTCATTACTCCAGTCTTCAGTGTCACATAATCCTTCAGAAATCACTCTAATATGAGGATCTGATGCTCAAAGATTTATGATCAGTGTTGAAAACAGCTTCATATTTTAGTGGTATATATTTAGGTTTAACAGTAAATGCTGTTCTTTTGAAGTTTATATTCATCAAATAATCCTGAAATTAAAATGTAAATCTGTTTTCAACACTGATAATAATCATAAATGTTTCTTGAGCATCAGATCATCATATTAGAGTGATTTCTGAAGGATCATGTGACACTGAAGACTGGAGTAATGATGCTGAAATTCAGATTTGATCACAGGAATAAATTACACTTTACTATATATTCACATAGAAAACTGTTATTTTAAATTGGAATAATATTTCACAATATTGCAGTGTTTTTTTGTGTAGTTTTGATCAAATAAATGCCGCCTCGGTGAGTATAGGAGACTTCTTTTAAAAACTTAAACAATTGTACCGATCCAGAACGGTTGACTGGCAGTGTACAGCGGCGCCGCAGCTTTCATCACGATCGTGAAGTATTTCTGTGGAATATCAAGAGCAACATCCAGGAGAACAGAAACACACGCCGATGGTTTAACAGAGCCGAGAGGGTCAGGGGTTTTATTAGCGATTCCTTCTCTATGATCACAGAGGTGCCATTGAGACGCTTTTAATAAACTCGAGAGCACAGATCAAACACTCAGAGCAAATGAAATGATATTTCAGAAGATTACAGAGGACAAACATCATGAAAGAGAGGCCGAGCGTTCACTGATCTATCAGTGGTTGATCGTCAGCATCTCCTGACAGAGCTGGTGTCAATGCAATAGAATCAAATGTTAATGTTGAATGCTGAAGACTGGAGTAATGATGCTGAAATTCAGCTTTGATCACAGGAATAAATTACACTTTACTATACACTCACCTAAAGGATTATTAGGAACACCATACTAATACTGTGTTTGACCCCCTTTCGCCTTCAGAACTGCCTTAATTCTACGTGGCATTGATTCAACAAGGTGCTGAAAGCATTCTTTAGAAATGTTGGCCCATATTGATAGGATAGCATCTTGCAGTTGATGGAGATTTGTGGGATGCACATCCAGGGCACGAAGCTCCCGTTCCACCACATCCCAAAGATGCTCTATTGGGTTGAGATCTGGTGACTGTGGAGGCCATTTTAGTACAGTGAACTCATTGTCATGTTCAAGAAACCAATTTGAAATGATTCGAGCTTTGTGACATGGTGCATTATCCTGCTGGAAGTAGCCATCAGAGGATGGGGACATGGTGGCCATAAAGGGATGGACATGGTCAGAAACAATGCTCAGGTAGGCCGTGGCATTTAAACGATGCCCAATTGGCACTAAGGGGCCTAAAGTGTGCCAGGAAAACATCCCCCACACCATGACACCACCACCACCAGCCTGCACAGTGGTAACAAGGCATGATGGATCCATGTTCTCATTCTGTTTACGCCAAATTCTGACTCTACCATCTGAATGTCTCAACAGAAATCGAGACTCATCAGACCAGGCAACATTTTTCCAGTCTTCAACTGTCCAATTTTGGTGAGCTCTTGCAAATTGTAGCCTCTTTTTCCTATTTGTAGTGGAGATGAGTGGTACCCGGTGGGGTCTTCTGCTGTTGTAGCCCATCCGCCTCAAGGTTGTGCGTGTTGTGGCTTCACAAATGCTTTGCTGCATACCTCGGTTGTAACGAGTGGTTATTTCAGTCAAAGTTGCTCTTCTATCAGCTTGAATCAGTCGGCCCATTCTCCTCTGACCTCTAGCATCAACAAGGCATTTTCGCCCACAGGACTGCCGCATACTGGATGTTTTTCCCTTTTCACACCATTCTTTGTAAACCCTAGAAATGGTTGTGCGTGAAAATCCCAGTAACTGAGCAGATTGTGAAATACTCAGACCGGCCCGTCTGGCACCAACAACCATGCCACGCTCAAAATTGCTTAAATCACCTTTCTTTCCCATTCTGACATTCAGTTTGGAGTTCAGGAGATTGTCTTGACCAGGACCACACCCCTAAATGCATTGAAGCAACTGCCCTGTGATTGGTTGATTAGATAATTGCATTAATGAGAAATTGAACAGGTGTTCCTAATAATCCTTTAGGTGAGTGTATATTCACATAGAGAACAGCTGATTTACACTGGAGTAATATGTCACTGTTTTACTGTGTTTTTGATCAAATAAATGCAGGTTTGGTGAGCAGAAGAGACTCTTGCAGAAACACTTTTTGAAGGTGTGCCAACTTTTGAACGCGAGTGTGTTCATCAGATTTCCAGGCTGTGTGTGTGTGTGTGTGTGTGACGTCTGCTGGAGTCAGTGGTTATTAAAGCTGCTGTTCTCGAGCGTCTCGGGTTCAGTGGGCTCTGGTAAAGACCGATGGGACAGAGATGTGTTAAAAATAGAGCAGAAGTAAGACAGGAGATTAGAGATCTCCAGCAGGGAGGGCTGGGACTGAGAGGGAACGTGGGAACACAATCCTACGGCGAGATAGAGTACCTTTTAGTCCAAGACGTCTCAAAGAAGACGGTGAATAAACACTAATAATAATATTTAAATGTAACAAAGGTAAAGAAATATTGCGACATACATCCAAGTGAATATCAAAAAAGAGGAAAATGTAGGGCGGAGACTTGGTTTCGTTCCGTCAGTTGTTGATTGGATGTTGAGATGTGGGCGTGGCACTCAGAAATAGAGGCGGGTCTGAATACACGTTTGTGGTCAATCGTAACAAAGGGGCGGAGTTTAAACGCACTAAATGATTGGAGAAACTGTTTCACCCGAAGATCCAGTTATGACAGTTATAAAAAAAATTGAAAAAAGGGAAGGTCTAATTTGTTAACATTAGATAATGCACTCGCTTATATAAACTGACAATGAGCAATATATTTATTACAGCATTTATATCTGCATTAACTAGTACAACTTTGATTTTAAAAAATCTGTTAATAAATGTTGATATTGACTATTGATATTGATAATAAATGTTTATTGTACATAATTTGTGGGTGCCTGCGCATCATTATAGTGTTAATAATGTTGAATGAGAATCAGTTCCTCTTGCAGCATCTCTTCTCTTCTCTGATGACGAGGGCGGGGCTATAACCTGTCACTCACATGAGCTCAGCCAATAGCAAACCACAACCATCCAATCAACTCCCCACAGACACAATCAAGCCCCGCCCACATGTGTTCTTGTTCCTGAAGCGATTCACTCAATATACGACACAATAGAGGAGAAAAGACGAGCACAACTTCACTTTCATGGCGACTTAAACTAATGTAGTTAACTATTCTAACTGAACTCTTAGTGTAAAGTGTTACCAAAACAGGAAATATATCCAGAAAAGAATCATTCACAATAATATCTATAACATTTATTTGAAAAAAAGACTTTAAAGTTCTGCAGGAAAAAATCTCAATGGATGAGAAACACATCCAGCACATCTTCATCAACTCCTGTGTGTGTGTGTGTGTGTGTGTGTGTGTGTAATCTGTGTGTGTGTGTGTCGTATAATCTCACAGTGAGACTAAAGTGTTTTTCTGGTGAATCTGTGTGTGCTGCTCTCCTAACGCTGAAACACACACCCTCCATTATCACAGCCGCCACATGTGTGGCATAACAAGGTCAGAGCCGTAATTCTCCCAGCAGCCCCTGCTGCGCGCCATCACTCATCACAGAGAAACATTAGAGGAGCGAGAGAACGAGGGGGAGAGAGAGAGAGAACGATAGAGAGAGAGAGAGGGAGAGAGAGAACGAGAGAGAGGGAGAGAGAGAGAGAGAGAGAGAGAGAGAGGGAGAGAGAGAATGAAAGAGAGAGAACGAGAGAGAGAGAGAGAGAGAGAGAGAGAGAGAGAGAGAGAGAGAGAGAGAGAGAGAGAGAGAGAGAGAGAGAGAGAGAGAGAGTGATTGTCCAGCTCACATTTCTCAGTAGAAAGAAATATGAAAGTATATTTGCTAGTATATTAGAAAATCAGGATGCTAATGTTTATAATAGCTTAATATCACGCCTTATTGTTGCATTTAGCGGATTAGAGCGGTGCGATCATACGGTTACAATCTTGTAAAGTCGGCATGAAATGAAAACTGAAAAATTATGAGGTCAAAACAAGTTAATATAAATAATAAATATTATAAATAAAAATTATACCCGCACAAATGAATCATTCAACAATAAAATCAACGCATTTAGAAAAAAGATCTATTTTGGATATGCATGTTGTTGCTTTTATTGTGAATGATTTGTTTGTTCATCTCAGTTTTTAGTCAAAATGTCTAAACTAGAGGCTCCAGGGAAGCGACGGATGGTGACATCGATAATAAACAAGTAAATCTGGAATAAATCACAGCAGAAGTTATGCTTTTCTTACTCAGTATTTTAATATTTTTTGAATTAACATTATTTTTCTTTCCCCATTGGCAGATAATTTAGCTTGTTTTAAGCAAAAACTCTCTTATTTAGATGTTTCCCCCCAGACAACAAGACTTAGTCTCTTACAGCTTTATACTACTTTAGTAAATGCATCTTGATTAAAGAATGTTTAGATATTTTGACTGGAAACAAGACAAAAATACTGAGTAAGAAAAGCATGTTTTGCAGTGTGACATGACTTCTCCAGTGATTTATTCCAGATTTACTTATTTATTATCGATTACACTTGAATTTACATCAAAATACAGAAAAAAAAGATCTGTCGCTACTTCCATTACATTGTGATTTTAGGACTTTAAACATGCATTGTGTGAGTAAACAGATTCTAACCGGCCATGGAACTGAATTTTGCATTATTTTCTGGATATATTTTTAACCCAGCGAGCACTTGCTCCTTTCATACGTCACCGATTCTTGAGACACAGAGAGATGCGTCCGCTACTGATTCTCAGTCATTAGTAGTGATTTCTGCTCACTGAAGTGCGCTTGTGTGAGGGATCTGCAGTGCGCTCTAATGAGGGATCAGCGTGACAGCTTCACTGATGTCTCTCGGAGTTACGCTGGTCAAGAGCGGCACGGCCCTCAAACCCCAGGAGAGCCTTCAGGGATGTGAATGTCAACCAGAATAGAAACTCACGTTCCATCAGAAACCAGTCAGAAAGAAGACGCAGACAACGATCAGGAGGATGAAAACCAGCACTGGTTAAAGTGCCCTATTATGATATTTTAAAACATCCTAATTTAGTCTCCTACAAAAGATTTACATGCATCCAAAGTCAAAAAACTCTTCCTCATAATCTCCACTGCAGTGTCAGCTCTTTCTCTCAGTGTCTGAAACGCTTCGATTGAAGATTCAGTCTCTCTAAGCCCCGCCTCTCTGAGAGCTGCTCTGCGCTGATTGGCCAGAACGCTCATTATCATATCTGAATCTCAGCTCTTGATCACAGTGATACGAACAGTAACGATGGCGTGGGTTTCACCGTATCAATCTCAAACAGCGTCTCCTCGACACGAACAACACGAACCGAACTCTCCCAGTCTCAGATACACTACAGTGATTGAGGGCGGAGCTAAGAGACGCTGCTCAGCCAATCAGGAGCATTATGCAAACGAGTTACAAACCTACAGGATCAGCAGGAAGTGAGAGTGAATTACTGACGACTCGTTTCAGTTCAGAATCACTTCTTTCTTCCTCAAGAACTTTATTTATGTGCACTTTGATCTTTAAAACTTTGCAGAGTTTTTACATTCACAAACATCTCTATTACACACTACATGAATCCGGTAAAGCATAACAGGGGCACTTTAGGTGGCAGTTAGTGTTAGTGTGTCAGTGGCGTTCAGACTCACAGGGTGAAGTTCTCCTCCGGGTAGCAGCGGTTGCGCAGAAGCCCCGCCCACAACTGAACACCGATGATGCCGAAGATGAAGAAGACGAAGAAGCAGAGCAGAAGAACGTTCCCCAACATCGGCAGTGTGTCCAACAGCAGATTCACCAGGATCCTCATGCCTGACACACACACACACACAGTTAGCCAGGTACATACAGTACACTTACGTAAAGCATATTGTTTATATCGTCAAAAAATGTAGCTACAGTCAAACCAAAGTTTATTCAGACTCGTTCAACATTTCTCACATTATCTCAGTTTATTCGCTATAGTTTAGAAAACGGTGATAAATATGAGCAGAACTCAGTTCTCAGATCAGTGGATATTTGACTGGTTTTGTCCGTCCTTCTGTTAGACTCTCACACATGAATTATGTTGAATATCTGTCAGCTGTTAAATTTAACTACACAATTAGATAATACCAGTTTAGCTCAACCAGTGACCAAGCAATGCTTCATGTTGTTCAGTCTGTGTGTAAAAAGAGCATTAGCAATTACAGAAAACACACTTCAGCAGAACATGATCAGCTCAAAGTGGAGGAATCATTATTGGCCCAAGGTTTCACTGGTAGTCGCTGTATGAAGAATATTTGGGTGTAATATGTCCCAGTTTACTTTATTTTGCTCTCCTCACTTACATAAATGAACGTTAGTGTCCTGATCACACTAGTGAAACAATATCTGGTGTCTTTTTGGTTATATTATTGCACAGTTCTAATCTGATAAACGCAACTATAAGGCATGAAGATATTGAGATATTCGAAACATCATGAATTGCTGAAAGCTTTAAAACAAACACTGGACTTCACGAGCCGAACACATCAGCGCTCGATCAGAAGTTAATGCTTTCCCACAGACTCAAACACTGCTCATCTCTACTCAGGATCTTTCCATATTTCTGTGTGACAGGCTCAGATGTGAGGATGAGGGAAGGAGTTTCTGGCTGTGATGTGAAGGAGAGCGTTCAGAGGTCTAGTCTTCAAGCGCTGTGTGTGTGTGTGTACAGTGAGTGTGTGTGTGTGTGTGTGAGCTGTAAATGACGAGCCTCATCCGACACGCAAACAGAGAGTTTAGAGAAGCTGTGGACTCACTGGGGACTCTGTTGATGGCTTTGAGCGGTCGCAGGACTCTCACTGTCCGGATGGCCGTCAGGTTGATGTTCTGCAGGTCCAGCGAATACTCCACCACCCTAAACACACACACACACACACACACACACACACACACACACACACACACGTTAAAAGCACACATTTCATGAGTCTAACACAGCAGTCTGAATCTCCAGCAGAAGCTCCTCAAACACACACACGCACACACACACACACACTCCAGCAGAAGCTCCTGAAACACACACACACACACACACACACACACACACACACACACACACACACTCCAGCAGAAGCTCCTCAAACACACACACACACACACACACACTCCAGCAGAAGCTCCTCAAACACACACACACACACACACACACACACACACACTCCAGCAGAAGCTCCTCAAACACACACACACACACACACTCCAGCAGAAGCTCCTCAAACACACACATACACACACACACTCCAGCAGAAGCTCCTCAAACACACACATACACACACACACTCCAGCAGAAGCTCCACACACACACACACAGCTGGTGTGATGATCTCTGGCATCTGATCGTATGCTCAACATATTCACACACATGCAAACACAGAGCCGGCGTTCATTAAAGATCTCCATCTGTCCTGCTTTCACACACTGATTTACAGACTGATCAGAGTCTCTATTCTGTAGACACAAATAAAACACACACACGTCAGCGAAACAGAAGGTTTGATACGCAGCGGATCACATGCGTTTCAGTGAGTGACCTCAGTCCTGCTGAACGAGAGCTGGTGGGCTGTAGGTTCAAATGAGACATTAATGTTGTAAAATCATGATAAAAGCACAGCAATGAACGGGTTATTCTCCAAAAATCAACAATTCAACCCAATGCAGCAACTCAGTTTAATTTCAAAATGTTTGTATAAAGTGATTTGAATTATTGCTATCCATTCCTTATTTTGTCAGATTTTTTAATTATCAATCAAAAACCAAACAACAAAAATGCTCTCCGTGTGTTCCCTTTCAAACTAAATTTTCTGACTGTAATCATAATGCAAAACCTAATACTTAACAAAAAGGAAATCTAAACCTTGACCAAAAGTAGTCTTATAGAATGTCTAAATGTCTAAACGCAAAATCTAATAAAAATAAGAAATTATGTCTAAAAAAACAACTAGGGAATCCAAAAGCCTCTCTCTATATTTACATAGGCAGTGTACAGGTGTTTACATCATGATATTACACAAGCATTTATTATCATTGTTTACATCATGATATTACACAAGCATTTATGTGTTAACGCCTTCAGAAGGCACTGTTCTCACTTCAAATAATGGAAAGGCCTCCCCTCTATTTTAAACTAAAATATTGCATTTTTGAAAAATGAAAAATAATTAATTTAAATGGAACAAATAGTTCATAAAAATTGTTTAAATATTTTAGAGTATCATAAAATCTCCTCAAAATTCAAAATAATAATCTAAAATATTATTGAACAAAAATATATTACATTGATTTTCCTGGGAAAAAATTAGATTTGTCCAATGTATTTGAATTGACAAAATGTAAATATTCTCAACTTTTGAAAGCAAGTAAAACTCAAAAATACTCATGCAAAAATCCAAACAAAATATGTTTGTTTGTTTTTTTACTAGAGTGTATGAGAATATCAGCATCATGAAACACTCCTGACCCGAACCGAGAAGCTTTTAGTTACGAACCACATCATCCCGCTTCATCGGTTCAGGTGTTCAGGTGTTTATGTGTTTATGTGTTTATGTGTTTATGTGTTTGGGTGTTTAGGTGTTCAGGTGTTTATGTGTTTATGTGTTTATGTGTTTATGTGTTTGGGTGTTTAGGTGTTCAGGTGTTTATGTGTTTATGTGTTTATGTGTTTGGGTGTTTAGGTGTTCAGGTGTTTGTTTATGTGTTTGGGTGTTCAGGTGTTTAGGTGTTTAGGTGTTTAGGTGTTTATGTGTTTATGTGTTTGGGTGTTCAGGTGTTCAGGTGTTCATGTGTTTGGGTGTTTAGGTGTTCAGGTGTTTATGTGTTTATGTGTTTGGGTGTTTAGGTGTTTGGGTGTTTAGGTGTTCAGGTGTTTATGTGTTTATGTGTTTGGGTGTTTAGGTGTTCAGGTGTTTGTTTATGTGTTTGGGTGTTCAGGTGTTTAGGTGTTCATGTGTTTGGGTGTTTAGGTGTTCAGGTGTTCATGTGTTTGGGTGTTTAGGTGTTCAGGTGTTTATGTGTTTATGTGTTTGGGTGTTCAGGTGTTTGGGTGTTTAGGTGTTCAGGTGTTTATGTGTTTATGTGTTTGGGTGTTTAGGTGTTCAGGTGTTTATGTGTTTATGTGTTTGGGTGTTTAGGTGTTCAGGTGTTTATGTGTTTATGTGTTTGGGTGTTTAGGTGTTCAGGTGTTTATGTGTTTATGTGTTTGGGTGTTTAGGTGTTTGGGTGTTTAGGTGTTCAGGTGTTCAGGTGTTTATGTGTTTATGTGTTTGGGTGTTTGGGTGTTCAGGTGTTCAGGTGTTCAGGTGTTCATGTGTTTATGTGTTTGGGTGTTCAGGTGTTCAGGTGTTCATGTGTTTATGTGTTTGGGTGTTCAGGTGTTTATGTGTTTATGTGTTTGGGTGTTTAGGTGTTCAGGTGTTCAGGTGTTTATGTGTTTATGTGTTTGGGTGTTCAGGTGTTCAGGTGTTCAGGTGTTTATGTGTTTGGGTGTTCAGGTGTTCAGGTGTTTATGTGTTTATGTGTTTGGGTGTTTAGGTGTTCAGGTGTTCAGGTGTTTATGTGTTTATGTGTTTGGGTGTTTAGGTGTTCAGGTGTTTATGTGTTTATGTGTTTGGGTGTTTAGGTGTTCAGGTGTTCAGGTGTTTATGTGTTTGGGTGTTTAGGTGTTCAGGTGTTCAGGTGTTTATGTGTTTATGTGTTTGGGTGTTTAGGTGTTCAGGTGTTTATGTGTTTATGTGTTTGGGTGTTTAGGTGTTTGGGTGTTTAGGTGTTCAGGTGTTCAGGTGTTTATGTGTTTATGTGTTTGGGTGTTCAGGTGTTCAGGTGTTCAGGTGTTCATGTGTTTATGTGTTTGGGTGTTCAGGTGTTCAGGTGTTCATGTGTTTATGTGTTTGGGTGTTCAGGTGTTCAGGTGTTTATGTGTTTATGTGTTTGGGTGTTTAGGTGTTCAGGTGTTCAGGTGTTTATGTGTTTATGTGTTTGGGTGTTCAGGTGTTCAGGTGTTCAGGTGTTTATGTGTTTGGGTGTTCAGGTGTTCAGGTGTTTATGTGTTTATGTGTTTGGGTGTTTAGGTGTTCAGGTGTTCAGGTGTTTATGTGTTTATGTGTTTGGGTGTTTAGGTGTTCAGGTGTTCAGGTGTTTATGTGTTTGGGTGTTTGGGTGTTTAGGTGTTCAGGTGTTTATGTGTTTATGTGTTTGGGTGTTTAGGTGTTCAGGTGTTCAGGTGTTTATGTGTTTGGGTGTTTAGGTGTTCAGGTGTTCAGGTGTTTATGTGTTTATGTGTTTGGGTGTTTAGGTGTTCAGGTGTTTATGTGTTTATGTGTTTGGGTGTTTAGGTGTTTGGGTGTTTAGGTGTTCAGGTGTTCAGGTGTTTATGTGTTTATGTGTTTGGGTGTTCAGGTGTTCAGGTGTTCAGGTGTTCATGTGTTTATGTGTTTGGGTGTTCAGGTGTTCAGGTGTTCATGTGTTTATGTGTTTGGGTGTTCAGGTGTTCAGGTGTTTATGTGTTTATGTGTTTGGGTGTTTAGGTGTTCAGGTGTTCAGGTGTTTATGTGTTTATGTGTTTGGGTGTTCAGGTGTTCAGGTGTTCAGGTGTTTATGTGTTTGGGTGTTCAGGTGTTCAGGTGTTTATGTGTTTATGTGTTTGGGTGTTTAGGTGTTCAGGTGTTCAGGTGTTTATGTGTTTATGTGTTTGGGTGTTTAGGTGTTCAGGTGTTTATGTGTTTATGTGTTTGGGTGTTTAGGTGTTCAGGTGTTCAGGTGTTTATGTGTTTATGTGTTTGGGTGTTCAGGTGTTCAGGTGTTCATGTGTTTATGTGTTTGGGTGTTCAGGTGTTCAGGTGTTTATGTGTTTATGTGTTTGGGTGTTTAGGTGTTCAGGTGTTCAGGTGTTTATGTGTTTATGTGTTTGGGTGTTCAGGTGTTCAGGTGTTCATGTGTTTATGTGTTTGGGTGTTTGGGTGTTCAGGTGTTCAGGTGTTCATGTGTTTATGTGTTTGGGTGTTTAGGTGTTCAGGTGTTTATGTGTTTATGTGTTTGGGTGTTTGGGTGTTTAGGTGTTCAGGTGTTCAGGTGTTTATGTGTTTATGTGTTTGGGTGTTTAGGTGTTCAGGTGTTTATGTGTTTATGTGTTTGGGTGTTTAGGTGTTCAGGTGTTTATGTGTTTATGTGTTTGGGTGTTTAGGTGTTCAGGGGCTCGTTCTTCGTACGTTGCTTAAAACATCCGAGATCAAATGAGACATCTAAGATGATATCATCGTGCTAATCATGATCCGGCTAATTGGGTTTTTCGAGCACACCTGTTGTTTATGATTAGTATCGCTGGATTGAGTTATCTGAGATAATTGCGCGTTCATGCGCTGGTTTAAAAGGGGATATGTATCGATAGTAGAAACATTGATCAGCAACGCTGCTATTGGCTGCTCAGCGTGGCCAAAGAGCGCGCTCAGTTTTACTCTGCAGCAGAGCAAGAGTTATTGCTTGAAGGATATGCAGAATTTGAAAACATAATTAAAACGCCAGGGAACACCTCAAAGTGTGCAAAGCCAGGAGAGAGGGCTGGCAAAAAGTAGCAGACAAATTAAGTTTGTAGTGACCATGTTAGATGTTTTTATCACTTCTTACAGTATATATTTTTTTATTTGAATAATTTCTAAATAATTAATAACTTTGTTCATTGTAATGTCAGTCACCACCCACTACTAGAACATGGGAACAAGTAAAAGTGAAGTACTAGAATATTCTACATAATGGTAATTTGTACTAAAGGCTACTATAGTCTCTTTTAAAAAGGCACTGTTAATAAATGTTTGCTTGTTTATAAAAGCAACCAAGAAAAAGGCTGAGAAAAAAAAGAAAAGAAAAACAAACAGGTGGTGGTCCTGCACCCCCACATTATACCCCGGCAGAAGAGCTGGCCCTTGGGTTAAATGTGAACCGACCCGTCCTGGGTTCAGCTCTTCCTCAGACACACAGCAGGGACCAGTAGCAGCAACTCCTTCATTACTGGTAAATGAACTTTAAATGATCTTACACTGTAAAATATTTTTTTGCTGCACTATAGGCCTATAATCCCAATGGCTGGTCCAGTCATATCAACTGTTAAACCTTGAGTAGGCCTAGTGATGAATTGCTTACTTGTGAAAGTGTGCATGTGTGAAACTAGTTAAGAACATGTAGCCTAGTTAATGTAAAAAAATATGTTGCCATGAGTTATTGATCACATTTCCCCCAGTGTACTTCATTGTAATGAAATTGTTTTTTCCTCTTTTGTGCAGTTTTAAACACCAACACATTTATCTGTTCCTGGCTGATCCATGTGCAGTAAGTGGACTTTTCCAAAGTTTACATCAAAAGGGAAGAAAGTACAACACTTTGTAATGCCCATTTCCCCAGCAATGCACAGGACAGTGAAGAAACTCTCTCAGATGACTGTCTTTTGGAGAAAGTATCTTTAAATAACTTTACTTAATTTACACTTGAGTACCTATTATTTCTGAATGCAATATGTGTTGCAGGAGTCCACATCTACAGAAAGGCCTACAGAAGAGTCTGCACAAAGCAGTGATACAGAGGTGGGCAGTGTATACTTTTCCTTTTATTTTTTGTTGCATAAGGCTTGTGTTGACAGGTTTAACCCAAGCCCCCTGCCCCTAGAAAATAGAGTATTTGGGGGGGTGGGGGACCTGACAATTTAAATAAAAAATCAAAGAACTAAGCATATTTGTCTTGTCTTTTATTAAACATTTAATGAAATGTTTTATATTTTTGCTGATGGTGGAAATGTTGTGTAAATGGCACATGTAATGTCACAGGCCCTGTCAAGTGCAACCCTCAGGCTTTTCAGACACTGAAATCTTCCCTTTAGTTGGCCAAAGTTCATTTCATTGTGTGACCTTGTCCTGGCTAGAGCTGCATTGTAACTGTGTATGTAATACAGTGAGCTTGATATTGATACCATGTTCAAGTAATGTGCATAAATGTGAATCTCTGTGCTTCCACATTTGTGATATGGAACAGTCACACACCATCTAGAGATTTTAGTCTGTCAACTGCCTTTTTTTTAATTTGATATAATATTACTAATCTTGAATATTAAGAATTGTAATAGTAACTTGGCTGCACATTTACATTGTGATCCCCCTTTCTGTTCACAAAATCCCCTTCATAGAGGCCTTGATGGGAACATGTGTGCAGTCTATTGACCAATCACATTAGTGAAGCCAGAGGGACATATCTGTGTCATATTAATCGGCATGTTCATGATTGCATGATCTTCATTAAAAATTATAATATACCTGCGTTGGCAAAAAAAAAAAACCCTGCTATAGCCTACAACCTTGGGTCTAAACTGGCTTGGAAATGCCACAAAAAAACACCCTAAAAACTGCTTGAGCGCCAGGGTAAACTTCGTGAATGACACGACAGACAGCACTTATCAAGTTCTCCGCATCTCCAATAGTTTAAAGGAAAAGAGCCACTCGCAAATAATATCAGGACAATGCACACAGTTTGTGCTGTTATTAAAGGCCGACTCCGACGAGTCGAACATTTGATGTGCGTTTCCAAAAATAATTGATGTAAATGACATCCTCACGAGTCATGAGAAAAATTATATCTCTCAAAAAGTACACTATCGCACTGCGTTAAAAGACTTCTCATTTCACCTCCGCTTATAAAGCCGCGAGCTAATCCTGTTTACATGAAATAAGCCTGCTCACGAGCAGTTTCAAGCTAGCGCACCTGTTGCTATGACAGCAAGTCTAGGATGAGCTTCGAAGAACCAAACGATCCAAGATCATGCCAAATCGTCAACAATCAAATCCAGCTAACTGAGTTAGCGACGTACGAAGAACGAGCCCCTGGTGTTCATGTGTTCCGGTGTTTAGGTGTTTAGGTGTTTGAGTGTTCAGGTGTTTAGGTGTTCAGGTATTCATGTGTTTGGGTGTTCGGGTGTTTAGGTGTTTGAGTGATCAGGTGTTCATGTGTTTGGGTGTTCAGGTGTTCATGTGTTCGGGTGTTCGGGTGTTTAGGTGTTTGAGTGTTCAGGTGTTCATGTGTTTGGGTGTTCGGGTGTTTAGGTGTTTGAGTGTTCAGGTGTTCATGTGTTTGGGTGTTCAGGTGTTCATGTGTTCGGGTGTTCGGGTGTTTAGGTGTTTGAGTGTTCAGGTATTCATGTGTTTGGGTGTTCAGGTGTTCATGTGTTCGGGTGTTCGGGTGTTTAGGTGTTTGAGTGTTCAGGTATTCATGTGTTTGGGTGTTCGGTTGTTTAGGTGTTTGAGTGTTCAGGTGTTCATGTGTTTGGGTGTTCAGGTGTTCATGTGTTCGGGTGTTCAGGTGTTTAGGTGTTTGAGTGTTCAGGTGTTCATGTGTTTGGGTGTTCAGGTGTTCATGTGTTCGGGTGTTCGGGTGTTTAGGTGTTTGAGTGTTCAGGTATTCATGTCTTTGGGTGTTCAGGTGTTCATGTGTTCGGGTGTTCGGGTGTTTAGGTGTTTGAGTGTTCAGGTATTCATGTGTTTGGGTGTTCGGGTGTTTAGGTGTTTGAGTGTTCAGGTGTTCATGTGTTTGGGTGTTCAGGTGTTCATGTGTTCGGGTGTTCGGGTGTTTAGGTGTTTGAGTGTTCAGGTGTTCATGTGTTTGGGTGTTTAGGTGTTCGAGTGTTCAGGTGTTTAGGTGTTCAGGTGTTCATGTGTTTGGGTGTTCATGTGTTCGGGTGTTCGAGTGTTCAGGTGTTTAGGTGTTCAGGTGTTCATGTGTTTGGGTGTTTAGGTGTTCGAGTGTTCAGGTGTTTAGGTGTTCAGGTGTTCATGTGTTTGGGTGTTCGGGTGTTTAGGTGTTTGAGTGTTCAGGTGTTTAGGTGTTTGGGTGTTTAGGTGTTCGAGTGTTCAGGTGTTTGGGTGTTCAGGTGTTCATGTGTTTGGGTGTTTAGGTGTTCGAGTGTTCAGGTGTTTGGGTGTTCAGGTGTTCATGTGTTTGGGTGTTTGGGTGTTTAGGTGTTCAGGTGTTCATGTGTTTGGGTGTTCAGGTGTTCATGTGTTTGGGTGTTCATGTGTTCGGGTGTTCGGGTGTTTAGGTGTTCGAGTGTTCAGGTGTTTAGGTGTTCAGGTGTTCATGTGTTTGGGTGTTTAGGTGTTCGAGTGTTCAGGTGTTTAGGTGTTCAGGTGTTCATGTGTTTGGGTGTTCGGGTGTTTAGGTGTTTGAGTGTTCAGGTGTTCATGTGTTTGGGTGTTTGGGTGTTTAGGTGTTCGAGTGTTCAGGTGTTTGGGTGTTCAGGTGTTCATGTGTTTGGGTGTTTAGGTGTTCGAGTGTTCAGGTGTTCATGTGTTTGGGTGTTTGGGTGTTTAGGTGTTCAGGTGTTCATGTGTTTGGGTGTTCAGGTGTTCATGTGTTTGGGTGTTTATGTGTTCGGGTGTTTAGGTGTTTGAGTGTTCAGGTGTTCATGTGTTTGGGTGTTTAGGTGTTCGAGTGTTCAGGTGTTTAGGTGTTCAGGTGTTCATGTGTTTGGGTGTTCGGGTGTTTGAGTGTTCAGGTGTTCATGTGTTTGGGTGTTTGGGTGTTTAGGTGTTCGAGTATTCAGGTGTTTGGGTGTTCGGGTGTTTAGGTGTTCAGGTGTTTGGGTGTTTAGGTGTTCAGGTGTTCATGTGTTTGGGTGTTCAGGTGTTCATGTGTTCATGTGTTTTGGTGTTCATGTGTTCGGGTGTTCGGGTGTTTAGGTGTTTGAGTGTTCAGGTGTTCATGTGTTTGGGTGTTTAGGTGTTCGAGTGTTCAGGTGTTTAGGTGTTCAGGTGTTCATGTGTTTGGGTGTTCGGGTGTTTAGGTGTTTGAGTGTTCAGGTGTTCATGTGTTTGGGTGTTTGGGTGTTTAGGTGTTCAGGTGTTTGGGTGTTCGGGTGTTTAGGTGTTCATGTGTTTGGGTGTTTAGGTGTTCAGGTGTTCATGTGTTTGGGTGTTCAGGTGTTCATGTGTTTGGGTGTTTAGGTGTTCGAGTGTTCAGGTGTTTGGGTGTTCGGGTGTTTAGGTGTTCAGGTGTTCAGGTGTTCATGTGTTTGGGTGTTCAGGTGTTCATGTGTTTGGGTGTTCAGGTGTTCATGTGTTTGGGTGTTCAGGTGTTCATGTGTTTGGGTGTTTAGGTGTTCGAGTGTTCAGGTGTTTGGGTGTTTGGGTGTTCAGGTGTTTAGGTGTTCAGGTGTTTAGGTGTTCAGGTGTTTAGGTGTTCAGGTGTTTAGGTGTTTGGGTGTTAGGGTGTTCGAGTGTTCGGGTGTTCAGGTGTTTGGGTGTTTGGGTGTTCGAGTGTTCGGGTGTTTAGGTGTTTGGGTGTTTGGGTGTTCGAGTGTTCGGGTGTTCAGGTGTTCGGGTGTTCAGGTGTTTGGGTGTTTAGGTGTTTGGGTGTTCGAGTGTTCGGGTGTTTAGGTGTTTGGTTGTTCGGGTGTTTGTTCAGGTGTTTAGGTGTTTGGGTGTTTGGGTGTTCGAGTGTTCGGGTGTTTAGGTGTTTGGGTGTTTGGGTGTTCGAGTGTTCGGGTGTTCAGGTGTTCGGGTGTTCAGGTGTTTGGGTGTTTAGGTGTTTGGGTGTTCGAGTGTTCGGGTGTTTAGGTGTTTGGTTGTTCGGGTGTTTGTTCGGGTGTTTAGGTGTTTAGGAATCAAACCCCTATAACGCGTATGTTTAAGCACCGAACATGAGAAACCTTCTCACCCGGCCATCACAATGAAGAAGTCCAGTCTGTTCCAGGTGTCGCCCAGATAACAGCGCTGGCCGAAGATCCCCAGAGCCACGATCTTCACCACCATCTCCAGTGCAAAGAAGATGTATATGAAGGCGTCGAATGCCTGCGTTTAAAACACACTTCATATTCACTCATATATTCAGATGAGAACAAAGACACTATTCTCTTCTGCTTTACAGCTGGTTTCAACTTCACTTCATAAGTGATGAACTTTGTAATACTGACTGACAGTAATTGAACTGAACTGAATCAACATTGAACTGACTCAAAGTGAATTAAAAACTGCTTTACTTTACACTGTTATTGAACTGAACTGAATCAACATTGAACTGAATCAAAGTGAATTAAAACTGCTAAACTTTACACTGTTATTGAACTGAACTGAATCAACAATGAACTGAATTGACACTTGTTTTTTTAGAGCTGCTTATAGCTGGAATAGAATTTGTCACATATTTGATGAAGTTTGCGTCAGTGATTCTGTTCCTTTACTGTTTATTACTGTGAAACAATCTGTATTGTATAAATTCAATACAATTAAAAAAAATTGTATAGTGCTTTTCATAACACACATCATTTCAAAGCAGCTTTACAGAAAGTGCATGAGTCCACATTACAATTTGCAGTGATCGGTTATCAGAGATAACTTATGTATTTCAGAAATGACCAAATCACAGTTAGCGAAAAATGTATTCATTAAAATTAATTATTTAATGCAGAAACTGTGTGGTCACTAAAGTAATGAATACTTGTTTGTTAAATGATTAAAGCGCTGTAGAAATAACACTGACAGGAGAGAGCATAAGCAGTGTAATTAAACCAATGATCCGCTAATTAACACAAAGCTCTGATGACGAGTCTCTAGATGACGGATCTTCTGAGAGTGTGTGTTTGAATATACGATCTGAAGTGTTTAACGTGCTGGTTCTCACGAGATGAGCGATTAGACGGAGCAAACGGCTGATTAGCAGAAGCCGGTCCTCACACTGACCTGCAGGATCTGGCAGCGGTCCGAGGAGCAGTCGATGTTCTCGCAGGGCTGGTACATCCCCAACGTCACACAGTTCAGCAGGATCACCATCATACTCACACGCTCAAACC